CCACCTCTGTGCTAGGCAGAGTCTAGGCAACATCCCAGTAATTCAAGGCCACATCACAGGCGTGCAAGGCTAGTTCAGGCACTAGTAGCTATCCCCTTCAAATCACATCTGAAGAAGTGGGCTGTGCCCATGAAAGTTCATGATCCCATCTACATGTTTTGTTAGTCTATAAAGTGCTACCAGACTGTTGTTTTTTAAGTTTACCCTTCAAATCAGTTCTGAGTACTCTGAGCCACTGACCTATGATGGATAACCCCCCCAGCATACCCCATAGACAGGAAACAGTGTTGGGCAGAATCCGTGCCTAACCGGGGCAGCCCCTAGGATGATCCAGGAATACCGGACTATCTCTTGGGACATGAGTTTATACAGACATATACACCTGGCAGGATAACCCGGAATTGCCACTAGATGGCGATTCTGTTCCACAGAACTACATCTCAGGCACTGAGCCTTGCTGGACATGCTGAAGCCCTGTAAGCCCTTCCTGCCCCAAACTCCTGCTAAGCAGAGCTCTGAGACTCTCGGAGGCTGTATGGTAAAGCCTAGTGATACTTCTGGATGGCTGTGGGCAGTGCCACACAGTGACCTCCAGGGAGGCCTTGGAAAGCAGGCAGCAGGGCTCACTCTGCCAGCCTCCGTGCAGCCACCAGCACATAACTCAGGGCTGTTTCCAAGGACTCAGTAAACAAACTGGGCCTGGACCGGCTCCTGCTGGAGTCCAGTTCAGCCTTGACAGTGAGGACCCGGTCCAAAGCCCTCTGACAGCAACAGGACTCTTCTCATTGACTCCAATGAGCTTTGATGTCTGTGGTCCTGCTGTGATCGCCTGTGGTGGAGGTCTGCATAATCCCTTCTCTGCCCCGCAGGGCTGTGAGGAGTAGCTCAGCCCTCCCTGCAGGATAATTTGGCAAATGTTTGTGTCTAACCATCTGTGGCGATGCTGATGGGAGAGTAAGGAAAGGAAGAATCCTGTGGCTGTTTATCCATTGCTCCCCACTCATCCTGCTTCCAAGCAGATTGCCAGGGAAATGCGCTGGGAATGGAGGCCACAGGGTTTGCTTTAGTCCTAAGGGTTTAATGTTGTCCCCTTACACTGTCAGACTCACCAATAAAAAGTAACAGCAACGTCACCCCCCTCATGGTTGTCCCACAACATTGCTCAGCTACAAGGAGAGAGCTGGGCCCAAAACTCCCCACTCATCCTGCTTCCAAGCAGATTGCCAGGGAAATGCGCTGGGAATGGAGGCCACAGGGTTTGCTTTAGTCCTAAGGGTTTAATGTTGTCCCCTTACACTGTCAGACTCACCAATAAAAAGTAACAGCAACGTCACCCCCCTCATGGTTGTCCCACAACATTGCTCAGCTACAAGGAGAGAGCTGGGCCCAAAACTCGGGGGGGGGGGCAGCAAATCTCCCCTGGAGGGGCTTGCCTGAATGTGGATGGCAGAGTTTGACTTCATACTGCACCCTGGATGTTAACAGCCTAGGGCTCCTGTTGGACCAACAGAGGCAAGCACCAGTCTGGGGCCTTGCCCAGATGGTGGAAGCCCATCGGCTGACCTCAGGTGGTGTCCCATACCCTCCTCACTGCAGTCTTTGGCATTCAATGCATCACTTTCATCAAGCTGACTCTGCACAAAAGGGCTCTTTTTGGCTGTTTGGGGAACCTGGATACCCCTCTTTGCTGGAGCAGGAGGATGGGGAGGAGTGGGGCAGGAGAATTAGCGATATCATTTTGCATGTGCATAGGGCCTTCCACTTCCCAATCCCATGCGATTTAGCCACATTCTCTGCCCCCTATGAGGAGGGTCAATACTATTAAGACTATTTTTGACATTAGGGGAACTGAGGCAAAAGTGCTGCGCCCAGGGTCACACTGTGAGTCTGTAGCAGAGCTGAGAATCGAACTCAGGAGTCCTGACTCACTGTTCTGCACCTCTGTTCACTCTATCAAGATCTTGAGGTTCCTCATCTCCCTGTTTCTATGTGGACTCCAGGCACCCCCATATGACATGTCATATCCCCATTTATCTTGGCCAAGACCAGAGACTCAACCTGCTGGTCTCACTGCAGATAAACAGTCTAATTCATTGGCCTTTTCACGAAGCACAGGCCGGTTTTAATGGGCAACTGAGGGAAGGTTTCCCACGTATGGTGAGAAGCCCTGAAAGGGCAGGAGCAGCAGCAGGTGCTCTTGATGCTTGTTGGCCAGTCTGGATCTGAACTGCCCGCTCCTGATCAGGGAGGGGACTCCAAGCAAGTGGCACCTACTAGTAAGAGGAGCTGATGAAAAAGCAAGGCAGGGAGGCCAGCAGGTGGCGCTA